AGCTTCCCATAAGTCTCCACAGCTCGCTCCTGGCTTTCCCTGGCTCAGGGAACACTTCCGTCTTACCAGGTCAGCTGCTACTTTTCCTCCAATTTGCTCCCATCTAGCCATAACTACAGGATCCTAAACCTGAACAGAACATGTCCCCATGTTCCCTGCTCCCTCCTGTACTCCAGCCCAATTCCACCAGCCTCTCAGGAGAACAGCAAACTTATAGTCACAGTAAGATCTTACGGGTCCAGCAGCACAGTTTTCAATTGGAAGCATGGCACTAGTTTAATTGCATCAACTCAAAACATGTGGGAACACTAAAATGCAGACAAATGCCCAGAGTCACAAGCGTGGGCTTCCAAAACACCCAAACAAAGATCTACTGAGGTCATACTTTTCTCAGTGATAAAACAACTTATACTCATTAAAAAAAAAAAAAAAAAAAAGAAAAAAAATTTAAACCTCTCCATCCTTGGTGGGGGCAGGGGGGGAACTACGTAAACTCTTAAGTCATAAACCTTAAAATGCCTAATTTTTTTTTAGCTCTTGATAAAACTTATCAATGACTGCTTATCAGTGGTACTCCATTAAAAATGTTGATATTGCTCTATAAATGAAGTCTCTTTTGTCTTCATCATAGATTAGTTAAAAACCTAAGTTAATTAGAATAATAATTTTCTAGAACTAGCTTCATTAATAAACGGTGATAATCATAATAATAAAAAGGATAAAAGCAAACATTCATTAAGCACATCCTATGTGTTAAGCCCTTTCATATCATCTCAATCCTCAAAACAACCCTGTTTTTATCTCATTTTGTAGCTGAAGACACTTAAGAGCCTGCTCCTTATTTATGAATTGGCTCCCTCCCCACCTCCATCCCCGCACCCAGTATTGGGGAGTGAACTCTACAACTGAGATATATTCCAAGCCCTTTTTGTTTTTGGGGGCAAGGATCTCACTAAGTTGCCCAGGCTGCCCTCAAACTTTTGATTGTCCTGCCTGGGCTTTCCTCAAATTGGTATTTCTTAACTTAAGAAGGAACTGGCAATCTTAAAAGAAAAAAAAAAGTTCAGGTAAAGCAATTAGAAATTGGGAACATCTTTCTAAATCACCGAGGGCTTTTTTCCCAATTAGCTTGGGGGGGAAAAAAGTCTTCAGGTAAATCCACCAAGTGGAGGAGAGAAACTTATTTTAAAAGGTCAGCATAGAAGAATGGCCTTCCTTGGAATATTCTATCATAAACACAGTCCCTGTGGTACATTAGACTAATAAGGTTTCTGGGACCCCTGCTCCTAGGAAAGCTGACGGCTTGATTGATCTAAGCTGCCTGAGGCCAAGGCCCTGCTCACGAGGGGAGACACATTCCACTGGGTTTTGGACTCAAACCCTCACTTTTTTTAGAGCACTGAAGGCCACAGACCATTCACAACTATGTGCAGTAGACTACGCTTGTGTATGAGATGCAGTAATTTTTGCCACCAAGAAGTAAAAAAACTGAGAAAATATACCCAATTATTCTTTATACTTCTGAAGGAGTTTCAGGTATTTTAAATGGGAGGGCTTATTTTATCTACTTTATTTTAAAGTTTACTTAGAAACAGCTTGTCTGCTATAATTGCATCTCAAAGGCAGGTACATTCAATGGAGAAGCTCAGGTTCAGAGGTCTCAGAGGAACCGTGGAGGACATTTAGTCCCACCCTCTTACTTTACAGAGGAGAGAATAAGCCCAGAGAAGGAAATGTTCCCTTGGGCATATATCAGAACTCAGGAAGCTAACTCTGAGTGTTCTCTTTTTCTCTCTCCTTCTCTCTTACCTCCCAGGCTGCTCTGGAGAGAACCCCGTATAAGCACATCCAAGTATGGAATTAGTGACAACTTCTGCACCCAGGTGATGACCTGGCAAGGTTCAAACATGTGCAGAATTCCGCTTGACCATAATTTTAGCTAACTTTGGATGAAATAATAACTTTGATGCGAAGACTTTATTATAGAGATTTCAAAGCATTCTGTTAACATTTCCTATCCGATAAAGGTGGGGAATTGAAACAAAGGAAGGTTAAAGGGACATGGGATGGGAAAGGAACTATATTACAATAACCACGTTATTTGAAAAGTCTGCAAATGCTTGCTATGTCTTCCAAAACTGTGGCCAGACAGGCAGAAAGCAAAATGATTCTTATTTCACATTTCCAGCCTAACTTCCCTTCCTGAGCTTACATATTAAAAAAAAAAAAATCACATCACACCATTGTTCACGGCAACATTATTCATAAGAGCCAAAAGGTGGAAACAACCCAAATGTCTATCAACAGATGAGTGGATTTAAAAAAATGTAGTATATACACAATGGAAACAGTCTGAAAAGGGATGAAGTACTGATACTTACTACAACACAGATGAACCTTGAAAATACTATGCTAAGTGAAAGAAGCAGACACAAGAGGGCAATTATTGTATGCTTTCACTTACATGAGGTCTCTAGAATGGGCAACTTCATAGAGATAGAAAGTAGAAAGCAGATACCAGGATTAAGGGGAAGGGGGAAATAGGAAATTATTGTTTAATGGGTACAGAATTTCTGGTTAAGATGGTGAAAAACTTGCAAAATGGATAGTGGTGCTCATTGTACAACCCGATGCACGTACTCACTGACACTGAACTGTATACTCAGAAATAGTTGAAATGGTACATTTTGTTATATATATTTTATCCTAAAAATCATATCCCTTTGTTTCTCAGTTGTAATTCCTAAACTTTATTTTATTCATTAATTGCCATTAAAGCCCAAATGTTTTCTCAAGACCTGCTAGCTGCCAATAGCATCATGGTCAATCTATGTGTTTATGTATGGACAGAGTCACAGACTGGCCATTTTGTGTCCTGCAGAGACCCATCCACAAACACGTGTCCAGTCCAAGAACTGCCATAGGATAACTGCAACAAGTTGGTCCATGGCAAGTCATGCAGCCAGGGTTACTGGAGATCCAGGCCTCCAAACACCCCGACATAGAGTATCAGATCAACCCTTACATTCTTCATGGCAGTGGTGGTGGTGGGAGGGATATGTATTTAGTATATATATATTTATCTACAAAGAAAACTGTGTGTATAGATCAGAAAGACCATCAGGAAATACTCACCCAAATCTGCCCATGAACAAAGAGATCAAGCCTGTGCATGGCTATTTTGGTGAAGTCAGCAATTGTATGTTGCACTGAACAGTGGGTGTCCATAATGCAAATGCATATAATTAGGAGTTAAGTCTTTGTACCTTTCCAGGACAAAGGACATAATAAGCAGGATATACCCTTTGTGACTTCTGAGGAAAGGAGAGCTTTTCATTTTTCCTTAAAAGAATCCATTTCTCATGAGGCAAAGAAATCTGAGAACAAGAGTCTTTTGAAATAGAAGTGGGGGGAAGGAGGGAAAAGAACATGAATTTTGTACATTATAGTCATAATCCATCACCCAGACCTGAGAAGTGCCAATCCTGTGCCATACCATGACCTCTACTCAACTTTAATTTAAAGGTTTTCACAACCTCATCATCTTTCGTGGAAACCTTGCCAGTGGTCTGATAACTCAGTCCTGTAAGCTTTTAAAGACTTCAAGAGTTTGCGAAGAAAACAATCTCTAGGGATTCTTTCCATTGGCAACACACATGGACATTTAGCACAAATAAGCTGCCACTTGTAAGAAGTCCACTTGACATCATTCCCTCGTGCATCCTAAACACACATGTCAAGATCACACTAAGATATTTAGAGGCAAACATCTTTAGAATAATGTTTTGTTCCCAAAGTGCTTAATTAGCAGAAACACTGCTAGAGAGCTGTCCTTGAATATGCATGCATTTTAACCTCCATGTTATTTTTTCTGAAGCACAAAATTTCCTCTCACTGGATGGTCAGGAAGTGATTGGGAACAGAAAACCAACTGTCTTGGGTGTCAATCTGCAAAATGAGTTCCATTTTTCTAAGCAGGTTTCAATTGCCTTTTAGGGTGATGTTCCCTTTCATGAATGGTACCATTTTGGAGTTTAATGGCCTTTTCTCCATTCATTTTGGATGAGAGATGCTCCTATGGCCTAGTTATGTCTGAACTTTTAAAACACCTTCCCCCACCAACCTCTTCTGCCCCTTTGCACGCCCACCCCCATTATAGTCAATTATGTTTACAACACTTTAGTTAGCACATTACAATTCACATGAATCCATCCACTTCTTCAGCAATGTTACCTTTGAAGTTGTTCCATTTGAAGCCCATAGGCCAGAGTTACACATGGTAGGCTTGCAAACCAGGATATGATTTATTTATGACAACCATGTGTGTTTGATGCCCAGCTCCAGCACACTTTACTTCGTTCACATGTCTCAGTCTGAGATGACCTATCTACTCATTGTGTTCCATTTCAGGTGCCATATTTCCATGCTGTGAAAACAGATGGGGGACCAACTTGGTGGGGAGTGCTGCCCATACAGATGCCCCTAACGCTGGTCACTACGTAACAATCTGTGATGGAACACAAAGTGGGCCAAATGTCACTTGCTGCAAAGGTTTACCATGTACAATGATTTTTCAGTGGAGAAGAGGTTACCAGAATGACTGACCATGTGGGGTTCATTAAAACTGTTGTGCATTTTACCCACAAGGAAGGCTGGAATGCTTGTGAAGGAAGCCCCACTTCTCATTTCAGGGATTTTGACCCCCCACCATTTGGCAATGATGCTCCAAAGGAGAATGGTAGATATGCATCAGAAGGTGCAAACGTGGACTTCAACTGAAGTGCAGCAAACTTCTGCCTTCCACAGTCTCCCCCCCTGTGCCCCCCAGTTGTATTTATACTTTGAAAGAAGTTAAGATGAAGCAGTAGTCACCTGGGCGTGCTCAATTTTTGACAAGCCTTAGTCACTCTGTACCCAGCAGAACAATTCACATTATATTCCAAATCCTGTGAAGATTCTGCCACACATGCTAACACTAAAATGCCAGTAGCTCCACTTACCTTCTTTATTAAGCCTCATAACCTCCCTGCTTTTTCCACCCTCTTTTCCAGCCTCTTCTAAATCTACATCTGCAGATGAAAAAGAAAAGGAAAAAAGAAAATGAGGAAAAAAAGGGGGGAAAAAGCCAAAGTCAAGGGGGGAGGGAGAGTGTTTATTTGCAAACAGATCGATATAAATACTGTATATGAAAATCTTTCAAAAATTGACAATGCAACATTTTCTCCCAAGTCTGGGTTTCCATCTACCTGGCCCAGATAGGTACCAAAAAAACTATGCAAGCAGCAACAGAGTAGCCTTTTAAACAGATAACACCGTGGGGCTGCGAAAGCCCACCCCGCGGGCTGCCACGGGGAGCGGGGCACAGACAGACAGACAGACAGCCCTGGCAGCCGGGCCTCTCTCTGTGCACTGATGATCTGTCTCTGTGTGTATTTATTTAGAGAGAGAGGGAGAAGCATGGAGGACACCGGGGGCCACTCTCTCTCTCTCACACACACACTTTTTCCCAGTGGCTCTAGGTGAATGGAAAGGTTACAGGATAATAAAAGGAGGAGGAGGCGGTGGGGTTCTTACTGTCGGAGCAGTGTAATTTGGCGGCGTCGATCCAGGAGGACCAGGGTTTGCCCAGAAACGCCTCCGGACTGGGCACTTTGCGATCCAGTGTCGCCATTGCTCTTCCTTCTTGTTGCTTTTTCCCTGTTCCTTCGGCAGCAGCAGCCGAGAGACACGGGATTCGAGAACGCTCCGACGTCATCTTCGGAACGTTCCGACATTGAGTGTTCTGAAAGGGGGAGGGAGGGAGGGATGGGAGGAGGGAGGCGGAGGTGGAGGAGGAGAGAGGAGGAGGGGCCGGCGCTCGGGAGCCCGGCCGGGCTCGGCTCTGCTGGCGGCGCGCGCGGCCGCCAGGGGCAGCAGAGAGGCGCCCTGCAGCCTGCCCGCCCGCCGGGCCGCCTGCCCGCACGCCCAGGGAGGGGCTGCGCCGCCCGGCCACCGCCGCGTGCCGGAGCACCGAGGCTGCGGCGCTCGCTCTCGGGGCTCCGAGATGCTGCGGCTCCACCCGCCCACGCCACCCCGAGTCCCAGAGCCTGGATCTGAGCGGCCGGCTCGACTCGGGGCCGAAGAAGGGGTTGTCTTTCGTGCAGAGTTGCGGCCAGAGGACCCAAAGTTTTGCTTGTGTGTCCCTCCCTCCTCGGGTCCCTGTCGCCCACTGTGAGGCGCCCCGGTGGAGATCCTGTCGGCTGAATGGGAGGGAGCCGAGTAGGTATGCACGTCCCCCACCCCAGGTAGGGTGGGGACCCTGGTGACCTCGCGTCCTGGCCACCATCCCCTTCATCCTATCAGTCTCTGGTGGACCGTAGATCTTGGGGATTCTGCGGATGCCTCTGAGAGGTGAAACCAATGAGTCCTTAAATGCAGGTAAGTTGGGGGCAAGAGAAGCTGTGCCTTCCTATCTCAGGCTTCGGGGCATGCAAAACTCAAAACTCAGTCTGAGCCGCGGTGCCCCCGGGTACCCTGCGCGATGCATGCCCCGGGCTCTCAGAACCACCGCGGAGACTTACCTCTCTCACCAAAGCAGGAGAGCTAAATTTCTCTTCTTGGGAAAGGATGCTAGCGGGCCTGTCCCTGTAGCAGTTTCCTGCGCTCCCTACGGTGAGATGAAGGTGGCCAGGAATAGCGCAGGCATGCTACCGCCAGGAATCTGATACCTAGGAGGACTCGCTTCAGACTTAACTGCTCCAACTAGAAAGGGAGGGCTAGGTTTCCCCTGGAATTTGGACGTTCTGTGCTTTAATCAGGGTATCCCTCTGTGTCCCTAGATGTAGATAACATCTACATCTAGTAAAAGTCTTCTGTCATCTTTTTGAAAATGTTTTTTGTTTGTTTTTTTAGAAAGTACCCAAACTATGTGGGCGCCCCTCCACTCACGATGGGTAACGTTTCCTCTATTTTACCAGCACTCTGTAGTTCTCACCAGTGCCGTTTCCCAAGTGCTCATCTGTCTCGTTGCTGAAATATTGATTTAAACTTGCTTTATATTGACTGAGTTCTGTCCTGGCTGGGTCATCTAAGGCTCTGGCACTTGGCATCCTGGGTCTGAAGGCCAGTGTTAGAATGGGTGATGAAGGGAGAGCTACAAATTTGCCTCAGCTGTAATGTTTGAAGTGCACAGTCTTATTTATGTCCAAGATGGGTAGATCTCACTTGCTTTTGCTCTCTTTGGGAAGGGTTCCTACACAGAACTAAGGTGCAGATTTCACATTGTTAGGATCAGTGGTGGTAACAAATATTTATGATGTGTTGACCTCTTATGAGATGCTAAACACTGTGCTTGACATTTCCTTCCATCCATCCATCATCCATTCATCTTTCCAACTAACCTTATTTCTCATGGACCATCCACCCTCAGGAGGGGAAGACATGTGAGATCTCTCTTGGACCTCACAGAGGTGCATGCTGTGGTCTCTGGAAGAAGAGAGAAAAGAAGCTTATCCACTCCTTAGAGAAACATGACACATGTACAGTGACTGGCCAATGTAGTAAGTGCTGTGGTCTCTTTCAGCTTCGCTTGTTCATAGGAGGAACTGAAATAGTTAGGAGTGATCACAAAATGTGTCACAGAGATGATGGGCTCTGTTCTGCATCCTGGAAATTGGGAAGGATTTATAATGACGAGATGAAGACTGGTCTTGCCAAGGTAGGGGGAAGATGATATCAGCATAGGCTTCAGGTCTCTGCTGGTTTGCCTAGGATGCTGGAATTGTTCCTGGAGGTTTGGGGATGATGAGTTTTGCTAGCCAGGCCTGGGTCAAATGATGCACTGAATGGCAGCCTATGGGGTCTAGATCTTGTTTGACATTAGGGAGCCACTGAGAGCTTTCTGGAGATAAGTTAAAAATGTGACTTTAATTATTCTGGCTTAAGTGTCCTGGACATATTGGAGTATGGGAGCTGATTAGAAAAATAATGCTGAAATGTTCATGGTATGAAGAGCTGGAACTTGAACTCTGGGGGTGCTTGCTGGTGGAGAAGAGGAGATAGTGTTGGAGAACTCTCTGAACAAAACACTTTCAAGGATAGGTTGTTTGTCTGAGAGTGAGTACCAGCAGAGGCATAAATAATCAGTATATCACTGGAACATTTTCCCTTCCCATTCTGCTTTCTTTTATCCCCACTATTCATGGTCTATTAAGGTATTTATTCCTTTATTATTGTGCATGCAAGGAAGGTGCAAGCAGTCTCTAAAGATGGCCTCAGTAATCCCTACCTCCTGGACGTTACATCTTGTGTGATTCCCTTCCCTTTACATTTGGATTGAGCCCAGGGCCTCCTGCCTGCTAGGCAGTCACTCTACCATTGAGCTACATCCCCAGCTCTGCACTTTTAGTGTGGGCTGGACCTGGTGACTTGATTTGAACTCTGGTTGGTGCTTGCTGGTGGAGAAGAGGAGATAGTGTTAGAGAATACTAACCAGCTGAATACTAACAAATGGAATATAGGAAAAGTAATGGGATATCACCTCTGGCTTAGGTTACAAAATTATGTGACTTGCATCCTGCTTGTTCTCTTGCTCTAAAGGAAGCCCTTGCCCCGTTGTGAGCTATCCTACGCAGAGATCTGTGTGGCAGGAAACCTCTGTACCTTGTGCCCAGAAGACTCCTTGCTTGTGAAGATCTGAGGTCCTTAGTCCAACAGGCTGGGAGGAGCTGAATCCTGTCCTTAGACATGTGAATAAGTTCACTTTCTGGGAACCAGTGACTTGAGCTTCCAGAATTCTGTCTCCTTTCCTGAGAGACACTTATATCACTGAAAAAAAGAAAATAAGAAAGAAAGAAATCAAAGATGGCTTACTGTCAGATGTCTGGGACCCTCAATTACAGAGAAAAAAGTCAATGGTTTCATATTTTAACATTAGCTTACTTCCCCTGCAGAGTATTACCCAGGACTTCTGGGTAATAGTAAGCTATTATCCAAAACCCTGAAGATGCCATGACATTCTAGAAGTTGTTCCCTTCTAGCTAGGAGGATTTTACTTTGTGACATAGTAAAGTGTGGGCTGAAATCTAGCATCTCTACAAATATTGGCTACATTGCCATGTTTAATTGATAATCAGAATACATGTAAATTGGTGCAGTTAGAGAGATGTGTGATTGTGGTTTGTAGTCTAAACACTCCACAGTTTCTCCACTGACTAGAGGTTATAATCCCAAATTGGTGAAACTGTAAACCACCTATGACTTTGCTGGATAACACGGCTGTCAATTAAATTGCATAGCTGGGAGCAAAGAATAAAGAAAGCATTGCTCATCAAACTAGGTGTTTACATTTCACTTTGGATGAAAATTGAGGTCAGTTTGCTTAGTGTCCAGGTCAACATGGTGCACATGTATTGTCAAATATACATTTATATTCATATATCAACCATGCTTATGGCAAATTTACTGCAGATCTGAATTCCTTTTGGTAGTAAATGATTGCACATACTGTCAGAGTCAATAAGAATCTTATACACTCTTAATAGGAATAAAGTGACCTGCAAAACAGTAATTTAAAGCATGTTAGTATAATGTTTGTGTGATAAACTCTCTAGCAAAGGCCTCACACTCTCTTCCCCTCATGATTAATGTTTAGGAAGATAAAGGGGATATAAATATTTTTATTGTTTTATTATCTTTCTTAGAAAAATGACAGAGTGGTTGGTTTAATTAAAAAGGAGACTCTCTCCCATAGATCAAATAAAGAAATCCATTCTATGGAGATGACAATGGGAAAAATACCCATTTAATTTGAATAACACATGGTTCTGTAGAAATGTGCCTCTTGTATGTATCCTGCATTCACTTAGCCTGATTTCTGTGCTATTTTCATCATAGTATTGAACACAAGAGAAGAGGGGTATGTGCTCTCTCATTTGGGGCTATTAAATGCATGCTGGGGTTGCGATGACCTTGGCTTCCTACCTAGATGCTTGTTGGGAGTTACCTGGAGGCAGAGAGGAGAAAAAGCATGTTCCATTGAAATGAGGTATCCCTGGAATTGTTGGGTGTTCTTTGTCTTGGTTGAATCCATCCATCCCATCTGCTTCTCTTCTCTTGGAATGTATTTCCCCAACCCGCTCTCCCAGGGGATTTTGTTGGTGGAGGGGGGGTGTCATCACATACATTGTTACTTTTTCTAAAATCTCTCAGCATCTGGAGGGCACGTGTACCCTCTACCTTCCTTGTCGACAACTACACCTCCCTTTTTCTTGCCCCTCCTATCCTGATGGATTAAAAACAGGACTGGGCTAATAGACCCCCAGTAGCAATTGGAGTAGAAAAGAAGAGAGGAATCCAGGATTGTGCTTATTGGTTACACGAGGGCCCCAGCCATGTGCAAGTCTGGATACCGTTAATAAATGTGACTGGAAAAACATGAAATTGGCATTCCGACTGCGGCAGAGGAGCTTCAGTGGGAATGTGTGGGAGGCCAACCTTACGGGTGACTGAGTTACACTCCCCAGCTGGGTGCTGAGTTGCTCAGTCACAGAAATGGGTGTGTCTTGCCACAGCCCCACGGGTGAAGCTACGCTCACCTGTTCCTTTGTAATATAACCCCTTGCCCTGTTTAGGATAGAATCTTCCATGGAAGTGCCTTGTGTGTGTCCCCTTCTCTTACTGTGCCCTTGGGTGTGGCCTATCCAGGGGTCAGTCAACCTGCTGACAGTGGACATCATGAAGACAGACTCAGCCCCCTGAAACCTGACCCCTTGCCTC